ATTGCGTTGGTTCCAAGCCATGTTGACAAGATGCACAGCAAAACAAACCACTACCTGGGTCCTGTAGCATCCTCCCAATTGATCCCATGTTTGAGTTCACGCTTGCAGCCACTCCATCTTGTTGAGGGCACTCCACTTTTTTTGCTGCCCTTCTACTCTACCAAGCATAAGGCGCTTCTCTTTGGTGACCTGGATTGGCATAATAGACATCGTGATGGATTGGAACATGTTGCTTATGTTGTTGTTGTTAGGTGCCATCGAGTCGGCTCCAGCCCATAGCAACCCTACGCACAACAGAACAATACACTGCATGGCCTGTGCCATCCTCACAATTGTTCCTTTGTCTGAGCCCATGAATGCAGCCATGGTGTCAATACATGTCATCCAGGGCCTTCCTCTTTTCTGCTGCCCCTCCATGTGACCAAACTTTATGTCCTTTCCCAGGGATTGGTCTCCCCTGATAATATGTCCAAAGTATGTAAGATGAAGTCTTGCCATCCTTGCTTCTGAGGAGCACTCTGGCCTTAATTCTTCCTATACAGAATTGCAATATGATGATCATGCAAAACCAAACAATGTTTTGCTCTGTTGCACTGAAAGTTATCAAAAATTTAGATTCAACTTTATGACACCTAATAAGAGAGAGTCCAGAAATATTCCCTCTCATATCTATGCATCTGGAAGACATTACTAGGGGCTCCCTTATCATTGAGAGCAAGGAGAGAAACTTTCGTTCCACCAGGTTCTAAATATCAGGCCGAGATTGTACTTGATTTTATCAGGAGAAATCAATGTTAGCTAGGAAGAACTGGATACCTCTAATGATGTGTAGGACTAAATAGTATCCGAGCCATCAAAATAATGCATGTATTATCATTGTTGTTGACTTTTGCAAACTAGTCAATCTGGGAATGGATCCTACGTTGTGATATCAACTCAGTTTTCACTTATAAAGACCCTAGAAGCAACAGAACAAAGTTTTCCATGTCATCCTAGCAATCATTATTATGTTTGACCTCATTGTTGCAGCCACTGTGTCAGCCCATCTCTTTGAGAATCCTCCACTTTTTCTCGGGCCCTCCACTTTCCAAGCATACTATCCTTCCACAGGAACTAATATGGGTGTTGATTGTGGAGCCAGTAATGTGAAATTCTCGACCACTTCAGTATATGATATTTTTGTCATGATGGCCCTGTTCTCCCACCTCCAGTGGTGAGGGTTTTATGGCCTTCATATTGGGGTATAGGTCACACTGAAGACTATATATCTTTCATCGTTAACAACAAATTATTCAAGACATCGTTGCTGTATTACACTTGATCAACCCCCACCAGGCATTCTAACCCCTTCTCACCATTAATGTTAGATCTCTTGCTGTTCCCTTGTCCCTGAGTTTGTTGGCTCCCCCCTCCGTTTCCCATACCTCCCCCTCTCCCATGTCCTCCAGGAACCATCGGCCCCATTGTTTTCTCCTTGGGATTGTTTATCCTGCCTATCATATATACATAGACATGAAAAAGAAGAAGAAAATGGACAAAAGAAGAGGCCTATAAATAGTTCCAGGTCTGTCTTCTGACCCTCATGTATGTTTTCTGATCAAGTCAGGAGTCTATTTTCAGGATTCCTTGGGGACCTCGTTGCTTTGCGCCCCTTGCTGCTCAGTTGTGCTCCCTTCATGTTTCACCCAGGTGTGTGTGGGGGGAGGGGGCTGGTTCAGACTGGGCATAATTACTGCACTGTGTCTCCGATGCTGTCCCATGAAGCTCTGTGGGTCAATGAGGGGACATCCTGTCTCATGGTGGGGCTGGCCCTATGCTTTCTCTGTGTGCCTTGGCTTCTTTGAACAGGAGTGTTGTCCTTGGGGCTTGGTGGACCTGCATGTGGTCCACTCTCTTTCGCTCTTAGTTTGCTCCCATTTTGTCTGGGCCAATCCGCCAGTCTTCCACTCTTCCTGGGCTGTATCTACAGTGCTTTCTTCTGTAGTGCAACCTCCTGGCAAGGGAGTTGACATAGCTAGGATTGGGGCCACCCCCGCAGACCTATGCTAGTTTGCCGATTCATGCAGGTATGTTACCCTCAAGGCTTGGTGGACCAGTTTGAGGTCTGGTCCCTCTCTCCCTTTCCTTTGAGTAGATTAGGAGGCAAAAGACATTTA